CACAGCCCGGCGCCGAGACATCCTCACTTATTGTATATTCTGTGGAGCTATAGAAATATGTATATTTACATAGTTACATTGCTAGAAAGAGACATGTGTCCATCAAGTCCAGCCTCCCATCTGTTTTTGCTGTTGATCTAAAAGAAGGCCGAAAACCCAGTCTGAAGCGCATCCAATTTTGCAACAAACTAGGAATAAATGCATACTTTACCCCAGAATTGAAACAGATATATCTTTGGATCAAGAAGCTATTAACTCACTACCTCACTCATTAAAAATTATATCCTTAGGTATTATGTTTTTGCAAATATTTATCCAATTGCTGTTTAATCATCTGCGTAGACTATGATAAAATCACCTCTTCGGGCCACATCTTTATTTTTCTTATTGTTAAAAACTTTTCCTTTGCCTTAGACCAGAGGTGGACAAATTGTGGCCCGCCGGCCACATGCAGCCCGCCGGCCACATGCAGCCCGCCACAAAGTTTTTTGTGGCCTGCCAAGACAGTCAGAAAAATCCACGTTGAACTGAGATTTCCTTCCCGTGCGCGACCAAAGATTTGTCTCGTATTTTCCACTAGGACGACTACGTCAATACGCGTGCACAGTGTAGATACGCGCTTTTCCGGTTGATCTGGTTCATTTCAATAAATCTATACATTTCCAACTTTAGTGAAACCATGAACCCTCCAAAAAAATTTAAAATTTAAAATCAGTGATGAATATTGTGTGTTTAATGAAGAATGGACAAACAAATATTTCTTTGGTAATACAGGGAATCAAGCTGTGTGTTTACTGTGTCATGAAACGATAGCCGTATGTAAGGAGTACAATCTGAAATGACACCACGAAACAAAACATAGCGAATTTGGCTGCAAACTTTCCAAGGAAGAACGCAAAATAAAAGCGGAGTGTGTGAAAAAGCTGAAGAAGCAACAAACATTATTTACAAAGCAATCAACACTTCAAAATAGCGCTACAGAAGCAAGTTCCATGGTAGCCTACAACCTTGCTAAACGCAACAAGCCTTTTTCAGGCAGTGTACGGTAGAGTGTGCAAGTGTATTGTGTCCTGATGTGAGAAGCATATTTGAAAGCATTTTGTAGTGTCAAGAAGGACTATAGCGAGGCGCATTGACTCAGTTAGTGACGAACTCACAGAACAGCTGAAGAATGGAAGCAAAGATTTTGTTTGGTTTTCTTTGGCACTGGATGAGAGCACAGATAACGAAGACACGATTAGTCATCCCTATCCAGGGAATTAATGAAAATTTCGTCATCATAGAGGAATTACTTGACCTAGAATCAATGAAAGATAGCACCACTGGTCAGGACTTGCTTGAGTGTGCTGTGAATTGTGTAGAGAAAAGTGGCTTGTCCTGAAACCAGATGGCAAGCATTACAACAGACGAGGCCAGAGCTTTCAGTGGAAAAAATGTAGGTATGGTTAAGCTTTTAAAAAACAAGTTACAAGCACAAGACACAGACAGTGATATCTTGTCTTTTCATTGCATTTTGCATCAGGAGAGCCTTTGTAAAGCTGCACTGGACTTAAAGCAGGTGGTAGATCCTATTGTCATCTGCAGAGTTTGGAGGACAAGGTCACAAGAAGATGTCAGGACTTCAAGAAAATTGAGCCTAAATTCAATTTGCTCTCTTATCCCATCACTGCGGATATTGATACAGCACCTCAGGAGCTGCTGCTTGAATTTATTGACACGCAGTCAAATCACACGGTGAAAGAAATGTTTAATGCTGTGACATTGGTTGACGTTTACAAATCTTTGTCTGCTGAAAAATTTCCATGTATGAAGAAATTTGCTGGGGAAATGTTATATTTATATTTGGGTCTACATATATTTGTGAGCAAAGTTTTTCTTGCATGAAAATAAACAAGAGTAAATATAGATGTTCTTTGACAGACATTAACTTGCAGGCTGTGATTCTAGAATTAAATGTGCTTGCAGCTATAGATGATATAAAATTAGCACAATAAATAAATTGAATAAAACTATTTAATTTAATTTATATTTATTGATTTTTATGATACAATTTATACCTTTTCTGAAATGCAAAGTTAACTAATGAATGCAATCATTTTAAAAGGTGCGGCCCTCCGCTAACCTCCGCTCCCATAAAGTGGCCCCCGAGCCAAAACAATTGCTCACCGCTGCCTTAGACTAAATCTCCTTTCTTCCAGTCTAAATGTGTGACTTTGTGTCCTATGTATAGTCCTGTTAATTAACAGATTTCCACACAATGGTTTGTATTGGTCGAATATATTTGTATAATATTATCATATTCCCTCTGAGATGCCGTTTTTCCAAACTAAAGAGGTTTTAATTTTTTTAACCTTTCTTCATAACTATAATGCTCCATTCATTTAATCTATAGTGTAGCCCGCCTCTGCATATTTTCTGGTACCATAATATATATATATATGAAACAAGAGGGGGTTGGCTGCACTCACCTGAACATGCATAAATGGGGGTGCTGCTGGGAGCCAAATAACACAATACACAAGATCCAGTGCACTCACCTATCCACTAAACAGCAACTTCAAAGATTTTATTAGTTTTTTTAAAAACACCTAATCTAGGCAAAAATAATGGGGGTTTAGTTACATTATATGATCATACATTGCATAAGCCTGCCACAACGTCAATGTACCCCATCTTTGGCAGGTCCTACACTAACAGCCTAATGTCTGCTCTTATGAGATTAACCACTTACTTGAGGAAAAAATTCCATCTGGGGCTCTCTTTCAACATTGAAGTTGCTGTTTAGTGGATAGGTGAGTGCGCTGGATCTTGTGTATTATATGACACATCACGCTACGTTATGAAGTCAGACGTTGGGGTCATAGTCACTTCTTCAGACAAGGCCATATTAAATGCGGAATCAAGAACATTCAAGGCCAGGGCCATCTTTAATACTAGTTGGACCCTGGGCAGACATTTGCTTGGGCCCCCTGGGCCTAGCATGCAATCATGCACTCCACCCTCAAAAAAAACAAATAAACACACACTTAGCTGCACTAATTTTTACTGAGACAAAATACACACACTGACACATATACAGATGCAGACAATGACATACATAGAGATATGCACATACACAGGTACAGACATACAAAGACAGATACACACAAGTGCATACAGAGACACACATTTACACACATCCAGATACACAGATGCACAGATACACTCACTGACAAACATGAAGATAAACAGATACACTAGCACACATACAGATAAACAGACAAATACACTGACAAACATGCAGATACAAACAATAACATACACAGACTCACATGCAGATACACAAACACACGATAAAACACACACACATATACAGATGCACAGATACACACACTGACACACACTAACACACATACAGATACACAGACACACAAACATAGAAACATAGAATGTGATGGCAGATAAGAACCAGTCGGCCCATCTAGTCTGCTCAATATTTCAAAATACTTTTAATTAGTCCCTGGCCTTAGCTTAAGTTTAGGATAGCCTTATGCCTATCCCATGCATGCTGTTAACCTCTACCACTTCAACTGGAAGGCTATTCCATGCATCCACAACCCTCTCAGTAAAGTAATACTTCCTGAAATTATTTTTAAACCTTTGCCCCTCTAATTTAAGACTGTCCTCTTGTTGTGGTAGTTCTCCTTCTTTTAAATATAGTCTCCTCCTTTATGTATTATGTACATTCCCTTTATGTATTTAAATATTTCTATCGTATCCCCCCTGTCTTGTCTTTCCTCCAAGCTATACATGTTAAGTTTTATCCTGCAATCCATGACCCAGTTTAGTAGCCCTTCTCTGAACACTCTCTAAAGTATCAATATCCTTCTGGAGATATGGTCTCTAGTACTGTGTGCAACACTCCAAGTGAGGTCTCACCAGTGTTCTGTACAATGGCAGAAGCACTTCTATGATTCTATGTTACTGCTAATACCTCGAAATTACATATCTCGCCAGAGGTGGGTGACACACATGCAGATACACAGACACACAGAACGATACACATTTAGATACACACACTGACACACATACAAACATTTACACGCACAGATGCACATGCAAACACACAGATACACATGCAAACAAATACACACACACAGATAAACATACAGACAAACAGATACACATACAGGCACACAGTTAAACATGTACAAAAAGATACAGAGACAAAGATAGGCATACGGACACATAGATACACATACGCATACAGATACACATACAGACACACATATGCATACAGATACACATACATACACACAGATAGGCATACAGATAGACATACGAATACACAGAAAGACATACAGATACGCAAATGTATACAGACATACATACAAACAGAAAGAAACACAAAAACAGATACACAGACACACATACAGTTACACAGACACACAAAACAGATACACATACAGTCACACATACAAACAGATACACAGACACACAAAAACAGATACATATACAAACAGATACACATACAGACACACATACAAACAGATACACATACAAATATGCAAAATGTTAATTTTTTAGTCACCCTACTGTGTCTTACCTTTTAGGTGCAAGAGGGTGACTCCCCTGGGGTCCAGTGATTGCCTCAGGCTGATGAGTGTGAGCTCTGACTCTCTCCTTCTTCTTCTCCTCCTGTGCGGTGCTCAGTGAATGCTGGGAGGCAGTGACCTCCTCCCAGCACTGTGACATCATCACAGGGGGCCCGGTCATGCTCTTTAAGCAGCGCAGCGCTTACCAGCCCGCCCCCGAAAATACATTGCCATCGGGTGGCCCTTAGATCACCGCGGTGGTAGTTCCACATGTGCCGCAAGCACCACGGCGGCCAGCGGGCTGAAGAGGCAGCTGCTTTAGGCTCCCTAAGATGACAGTTCCCGGGGCAGCTGCCCCTTTTGCCCCGCGTTAAAGACGGCCCTGTTTGAGGCAAGGGCAGCCATCTTTGTATAGGGAAAATACCCAAAGTAGCAATAGCAATCCAGTAGGTGCTATAAATCGCTCCATTAGTAGTTTATCCCTCCAAGGGCAGAAGCAGAGACAAATTGGCAACCTAGGACTGATTCATACCCAATATATAATCCTGAGGTAAGTCTTCGTTATTATTATTATTTTTATATAGTGCCAACAAATTCCATAGCGCTTTACAATGGGTGGACTAACAAACATGTAATTGTTACCAGACTCCATGAGCTTACATGCTAGAGGTAGTGGGGTAAAGTGACACAAAAGGTAAGGACAGTATCAGAGAAGTAGATTGGTAGAATAGTACTCGCAGAAGACTAAATGTGTTTTTTAATGACAGTTGCAGGAGAGAAAGCAGTTGGGAGCCATTAACGTTTTAATTGATATGCTTTTGTGAAAAAGTGAGTTTTTAATTATTTTTTTTGAAGTAGTGGAGACTGGGTGAGCGTCTAATGGAAGAGGGAAGGGAGTTCCACAAGAATGGTGAAGCCCTAGAGAAGTCTTGAAGTGAGCATCAGAGGTAGTAGTATGAGCAGAGGTTAGACGTAGGTCTTTGGCAGAGCATAGGTGCTTAGATGGGACATACTTGTGTATTAGTGAGGATAGATAGGTGGGAGCAGCATTATGTAGAGATTTGAAAGCAAGAACCAGAATTTTAAATTGAGCCCTATATCTTACAGAAAGCCAATGCAGGGACTGACAGAGGGGGGAGGCGCGGGAGGAGTGGGCGGACAGGAAGATGAGCCTCGCCGCCACATTCATTATAGATTGTAATGGGGCAAGTTGGGAGCACATAAGACCACTGAGAAGCAGATTGCAGTAGTCAAGGCGTGAGAGGGCAGTGGCATGGGTCAACACCTTAGCCGCATCTGGCGCTAAGTAGGGGTTGGATGCGTGCAATATTTTTTAGTTGAAATGAGGGGTGAAGGAGAGGTCAGAGTCAAAGAGAACATCTGGGCAGCGAGCATGCATGGTGGAACTGATCTTAGCGCCATTAACGTGGAGGGAGACAGATACAGAAGTAGGAAAACTTGAGGGAGGCAAGACCAGAAACTCTGTTTTGTACACCTTAAGGAAGTGGGCAGCCATCCAGTTAAAAATAGCAGAAAGGCAGTCAGAGACACCAGTCAAGAGGCACGGGGAGAGATCAGGAGAGGACAGATATATTTGAGTGCATGCTGCATGGAAGTGATAATGGAAGTGAAAAGAGCTGTTGAGTTTACCAAGGGAAACAGAATAGATCGAGAACAATAGAGGACCAAGGACTGAATCTTGGGGGACACCAACAGAGAGGAGTTGGGGGGAAGAGGCAGAGACAGAGAAAAGAAACACCAAAAGAGCGCTGGGTGAGGTAGGAGGAGCACCAGGAGAGAGCAATATCTCGTAGACCAAAATTACGGAGGATGTGAAGAAGTTGATGATCAACAGTGACAAAAGCAGCAGAAAGATCAAGGACAATTAGGATTGAATAGTGACCACGAGATGTTGACAGGTGATTACATCATCAGCTAGATGGAGGATTGGATAACAATCTCTGGAGTTGGTCAATGAGAAGATTGAAGGACATTTAAAGTTAGGACAGGACTTGGTGGTAACCATACCAATTGAGAAAACCATTACATCAGCGAAACGAGTCTCGGGAGCTCCATTGTGAGGATTTTATGTTTTATTTATATTTGTTTTTATACAAGTTGTAATAAATAGTACTTTTTTAATCCTTCCAGGAGACTCTACTCTACTACCTTTGATCCTGTTCTAAAGAAGGGTTCTTTATGCATTTGCACTTTTTTCAATATTGGCATATTGCACTAATTGTACAGCGCTGCGGAATCTGTGTGCGCTTTATAAATTGCAATAATAATAATAATATGTTTTCTCCCACTTTCTGCATTTCAAGCACATCCAGATACAAAGGAAGAGGGGAAGTGTCACCATAGAACACATCTGTGCAAGTGATCTGAGCTTATCCTATGGGGCACACTTAAATGTTAGTGTACCAATATTGAGTGATATCCTCTGTATAGTACTGGATATAACACACTATATTAGCATATTGTTATTATAGGACATTATAACTTATCTATATAATAGGGTAAGTGAACAAATTTTTTGCGCTCCACTGTTTCACTGGGGTGGGTGTATATAACACACAGTGAAGGCTTTTTGGTTCTACTAGCATAAATCTATATGCCCAGTGCGAGCAGTAGAAAGGTATGCATTCATGAAGAAGCATTTTTGTTACAATGGTGACGGGACTTTTTTTATCAAAGTACCAAAACTGCACATTTTATAGTGGCCTTTTATTGTGGCCAGCCTAAGGCACCCCTGTGCAATAATCTTGCTGTCTAATCAGCATCTTGAAATGCCACACCTGTGAGATGGATGGATATCGGCAGAGGAGAAGTGCTCACTAACATAGATGTAGACAGATTTGTGAACAATATTTGAGAGAAATAGGCCTTTTGTTTACATAGAAAAAGTCTTAAATAATTGAGTTCAGCTCATCAAAAATGGGGTCAAAAACAAAAATGTTGCATTTATAATTTTGTTCAGTGTTTATACATATATATATAATTAGGAAAAAAGGGGGTTCGGCCTGGCAGCCGATGTATCCGCACTCGGACAAGGGAGAGAACGTACAGCTGGGCAGGGAGCCGTCGGCCACAGAGGGTCGGTGTTGAGGCTGGGGTGCTGGAGGAACTCCTGACTAACTGGGCTTGCTAGCAAGGCACAGTGTGGGATGGACCTGCCTTGAAGGAAAAGGGGTAAGCTGCCAGGCCATTTCCTCTTCCCCCTTTTGGGGGTTTTTTGGGAGTCGGGATTCTTGCAGACCATAAAAGTTGTTGTTTGTTGTTAAATCTTCTAAATAAAGTTAAAAAAAAAAAATCTTGTGAAGTCAACAAGTGGTGGGAATATAATTTAACATTCCAAACCTAAATTCTGTCTGATTTATTTAAGGGAATGTTAAAAAAGTCTTATAGATGGTTGAAACATAGAAACATAGAATGTGACGGCAGATAAGAACCATTCGGCCCATCTAGTCTGCCCAATTTTCTAAATACTTTCATTAGTCCCTAGCCTTATCTTATAGTTAGGATAGCCTTATGCCTATCACACGCATGCTTAAACTCCTTTACTGTGTTAACCTCTACCACTTCAGCTGGAAGGCTATTCCATGCATCCACTACCCTCTCGGTAAAGTAATACTTCCTGATATTATTTTTAAACCTTTGTCCCTCTAATTTAAGACTATGTCCTCTTGTTGTGGTAGTTTTTCTTATTTTAAATATGGTCTCCTCCTTTACTGTGTTGATTCCCTTTATGTAGGGAATCAGAGGCGGAAGGGGTGGGGGAGTTTAACCCTTAATAGACAACTAGATCGATTCTTATGCTTCTAGTCAGTGGGGGTTTACCCACTGCTTACGCTTTAATTATAGTGACTGCTAGTATACCAAACACTGTATCTGTTTTATAAACGCTTGGATTTGGAGTTCACTGCCGCCCTTTGCTGCAGGTGCTATTTCTAATAAAGGAATTTGGATTACCCTGTTCTTCCGGTTTTTCTTTAAGACCTTTCGGAACAAGATCTGTTCCTGGGAGATTCCATCCAACCAGGGCCGTCTTTAATATTGACCGGACACTGGGCAACCATTTGCTTGGGGCCCCTGGACTCTGCCCCCTGCCAGACATACTAACACACATACACAGAGACATACACTGACAGACATACTAACACACGCTGACACACACACTGACAGACACATATTGACAGACATACTGACACACACACAGAAACATACACTACAGACATACTGACATATGCAGACACATATACTGACACATATACACAAAGACATACAATGACAGACATACTGACACACATACAGACACATACAATAACAGACATACTGACATACACAGACACATACAATAACAGACATACTGACATACACAGACAGACATACTGACACATACACCGACAGACATACTGACACAAGCACAGACACATACACTAACAGACATACTGACATAAACATACACTGACAGACATACTGACAAACATACACTAAAAGACATACTGACACAAACACAGACAGACATACTGACATAAACATACACTGACATACATACTGACACAAACACATACACTGACAGACATACTGACATGAACATACACTGACAGACATACTGACAAACATACACTAACAGACATACTGACAAACATACACTAAAAGACATACTGACACAAACACAGACAGACATACTGACATAAACATACACTGACATACATACTGACACAAACACATACACTGACAGACATACTGATATGAACACAGACAGACATACTGACACAAACACAGACACAGACAGACATACTGACATAAATTTACACTTTTAAACCCACCCACAAGTTTCCTACCTTCCAAGGTGGTTCCCCAGGTGTCCAGACTGAAGGCTGTTGGGATCTGCCTCTCCTGGCAAGGGTCCCTCCTTAGTCTCCCGCGCGGCTCCTCTCCTTAGTGGGAGGAAGTGACTCGCAGCCGTCACTTCCTCCCAGCGCTGCCGAAAAGCAAAGGGCCCGGTCGCGCTGTTAAAGTGCTACAGCGTGTGACCGGGCCCCTGCTTACAATACCCACCCGGTGGCCTGCTTAATGTGGGGGCCGGTGTTCTATCAGTCTGGTATACTCCGTCAGATTGCTATACCCACGTCACTTCCGGGGAGGGGAATCAGCTGTCTCCTGTGCTGCACATGCGTGCTAGCACTCCTGCTACTCCTCCACAGCAAGGTCCTGGAAGGTAAGTAAAACTAGTTTTACACTTTCATTATAGTTAGTGCATTCACTAAGCTTAGGACATGGAACATTTAGGGTTAAGTGAGGGTACAAATTAGGGTTAGGTAAGTGATTCTAACCTCTCTCACACTCTATTCTTACCCTAACCCTTGGGGTAAGGGTTAAAATAAAGTGTGAGAAATCACTATTTAGTGATATTCCCCTAATGTGAAATATCACTAAATAGGAACAAGTCCCTAATCCTAACCCTAATTTGAACCCCAACATTAACCCTAAATGTCCCATGTCCTAAGCTTAGTGAATGCACTAACTATAATGAAAGTGTAAAACTAGTTTTACTTACCTTCCAGGACCTTGCTGTGGAGGAGTAGCAGGAGTGCTAGCACGCATGTGCAGCACAGGAGACAGCTGATTCCCCTCCCCGGAAGTGACGTGGGTATAGCAATCTGACGGGGTATACCAAACTGATAGAACACCTGCGGCCCCATGGGAGAAACAATTGTTGAGGGCAGCGGGGCCCACGGGGAAGCTGCCTTGGGCCCCCCAAGAGTAACAGGGCCCGGGGCGGCTGCCCCGTTTGCCCCGCGTTAAAGACGGCCCTGCATCCAACCTAAATAATGGTTCTGTAATCTAACTGCTTCTGTGAGATTTTATCTGAGCTAGATAATTGTCCTATGATCTCAACTGGTTTTGTGAGATTTCATCTGGGCTAGATAATTGCTCTGTTACTACGTTTATTTATTTTTCCTGAAATCTCGTCTTAGCTAGATAATGTTTCTATATAGTTCAAAGCAATTCGTATTTCCAATCTTAGTGTTTCTATAAGACCCTCTACTTGAATTTGGGTATTGGAGGCTGTTATATAATATATTATATTAGAGTTATATATTAGACTTATATATTAGGACTTGCTAAATGTATCTTTGTACTAAGGATATCTAGTCTTTAAAACAGCCCTGACTCACGGCCTCCAGCAGGGGAAGAAGGCAGAGAGCAAAGCAACGAGTGGCGATGGATTGCCCCTCAGGCGCCAGCACTCTTCCTCTCAAGCGACCACAAGCGGCGGAGGAGGCCCCCGAACAAACGCCTGCACAGCCCCAGCAAAGCCTCACATCACACAGACAAGATGGTAACCAAGCTCTAGCGACGGCTCACAACCGGAATTGTACAGCCGTTGCACAGGAGATAACCCCTACACAGAAAGCCTCGGACGGCTCACAGACCTTTACTGAAAGCCTGCCGACCTCTGGTATCGGGTAAATGGGGACACTAGCAACAAAATGGCAGTCTGATATGCCACTGTGCATGGTCAAATGAATAACTAGCACCCCTAGTACGGTTCATGCCAACCTACCAAATATTGCGTACACAGGAACACCCAAATTGACTTTGTAGTCACTGTTACTGAACCTTGTTTATTGCATATTTTAAATGTGTACAATTGAAAAAGTTTGCATTGTGATGCGTTAGGCGCTATAAGTTCTCTATCCTTCTGCTTATTCTAACTGAAATGTCTGAGCTTACAGGTATGTCTGTCGCTCTGCTGCTCCCTGGTGGATAAACTTAATTAAGCTTATAAAAATCTGTTATTAACAACGACCTTAACACGTGTCTTAACGACAAAAAGCAGCTCACTATTTTGTTTTTCACAACGTTTGCCCAGCATGAATGCCGACTTAGATATGTTGAGCGACAGTTATCTTGATGCATTTTACTTAATCTCACGCTGATGACGCAACTGTTTAACCAAACTTGTTAAAATTTAAAAAAAATGTGCAGACTCTCATGCCACTGTTATACCAATGTATATTTTCCATTACGCTGTTGTGGCGTCTGTTGATTCCTTGTACCTACCTGCACAGCAAAAATAAAGAATTAAAAAAAAAAAAAAACAGCCCTGACTCTGACCAACCACTGATTCAGATACGTTACAATTGTTTCCGATTTTTAGATTTTTTCAGATTTTCTGATTTTTTGATAGATAGTACACTGAGCTAGCTGTTTAAAGGCTATACAAAGCTGTATCCTGGCACTATTGCTCCTCCTGTCCCCTCCCCCCCACCCCCCCACCCCCCCACTGCCCCCTCTCACATTTCTCCCTCCTTCCTGGTAAATAAATACCTTACCTGATCCAAGCTCAGATGTCTCTCTGCCCTGGGTCAAAGCTCAACCACTCCAACATCCTGTGACGAGCGGGCTCTAATGCGGTGGGGGCCGCATTCGCATTAGATGGATGGGGAAAAAATTGACCCTGGATGTCCTCATGCAGACCGTAATGACGTCCAGCGTCAGATACCGGACCAAAGAGTGCGTTTCAATTCAGGAAGCCCTCTCGTGTAGTTTCCCTGGAACTACAATGTTTTACATTGCAGCAAAAGGGACACAGCACCCAGACCTCTTCAATGAGTTGAAGTGGTCTGGGTGCCTACAATGTCCCTTTAAATTAGCAGTAGCAAACTGTATCCATGTTGAAATCATTTAATGCAGTGTTGAGTACTGTATTTGCTCAGTATATTTGCACACATGCACCGCCTCGCTCCTTAGCTTTTGAAACACTTTGTATACACTTGTTTACCGGACACGTTTAGTTTGCTTTGGTTTGTTCACTTTTGTTGATTCTACTCATTTATGATTTAAATAAAGTGACATTTATTATTACCTTATTGGTAATTGTCTTCTAAATCTAGCCCTTATATTTGGCTTGCCTTCTGGAGTTCTCATTGATGTTTCTAATAGCGTTATGCCCTTAAATTACTGTTTTAACCCTATTTAGGCATCACAGCAAAGGTTTTTTTTTGTATCTGACACTTTTATTTGCAAATATTCCAGGACTATCCATATGTTTGTGCTAGCGGAAAAAACAGCCCAGCTGCATTCTTGCAGCGTTTCCCAATTGGTGTTACACGGAACAAAATTGGTGTTCCGTAGCATTTTGCCACATCCAAGTTGGCCGACGCTACCTGCTGTTCCAGGAAGGTTGGAAACAGCATAGATTGCGCACCCGCCGTCAGCACTCCTTGCCATCAGAGCCCGCCCTAGTGCCCGCCCTGCCCTCAGCCAGCCACTTAGACTTAGCTCGTCTGTGAGAGAGCCCGCCCAACCATCAGCCAGCTTGCCCAGCCGTCAGCCAGCCAGCCCTACCATCAGCCAGCCCTGCCATCAGTCATTCTCTATCACTCATGTTAGGTAGGGACGTTTAAATCTCTGTTAGGTAGGGACATTGAGGCTCTGTTAGGTAGGGAAATCGAAAGCTCTGTTAGATAGAGAAATAGAAAGCTCTGTTAGGTAGAGACATTGAAATTTTCTGTTAGGGACATTGAAAGGCTCTGTAAGGGGCATTGAAAGACTATGTCAGGGGCATTGAAAGACTCTTTGAGGGGCATTCAAGACTGTCAAGCAGGGGAGGGCTGGCAGCCTCAGGCCTGGGGGTCGAGTGGCCCATTGCACCCCTGAATCAGCTCACCATCCATGCCCACCTTTTCCTGGTCTTATAAAGGATATTGATGTTATGCTTATCAGTAGCTCTTTTGCCATACCCACTCCTTTGCGGCTCAGACTGTCAATGTTGTGAGAGCGCAGGCTGAGAATCTCTGAGCCTGTGCTCTGACTCACTAACTGAGCACCGGAACCACAATTGACAGGATATGATCTGACTGCACCTACTGCTGGTGCGCACCAATGGACCACCAGGGAATCGTTTAAATTAAATATGCTGGTGTCCCAAACTTGTGAGCTGTGTTGGCCGCCGGGCGCGTCTGTTGTCATGGCGCCCCACGTGACCCCACAGCTTGCACACCTCAAAGGCTGGCCCTGCTGACAGACACACTGGCACTCACTCTCAATAACACACACACACAAACCCTGACAGACAAACACTCACTGACAGGCAGACACATACACACACACACACACACACACTGACAGGCAGACACACACATTCGCTGAAAGACTCTTACTTGACAGATACACTTACTGACACACACACTTACTGACAGACACCAGTGCCATCTTAACAACATTATGGGCCCCCGGGCAAAGCAGTGCACTGGGGCCCTGCCTACACAACTTACAGGAATAAAAACGTAAATTATAGATACAACGAAGAATATATTTAGAAGTACCTCCAACAAATGCAATGCATACATACACACAGACTGCTGAATACAGTCACACACCTACTGCTGAATACATGCACACGACGACTGCTGAATACACGTATACAGACTGCTGAATAGAAACACACACACAGACAGACTGCTGAGTACTCACAAAGACAGACTGCTGAGTACACACAGACAGACTGCTAAGTACACATAGAGAGTGCTGAATACATACACGGGAGGAGTGATCTGCCTTACAGGTCGGCCTGTCCTGCTGCCCTGGTTCCTAGCTACCTCTCTCCCCGATTGAAGGGAGATCTCCCCCACTGGCCCAAGGGCAGAAAAGGCCCCAGGGGAGATCAAAGGATCATGCTGCCCAGCGTGCCCATGCAAAAAGACGGCCCTGACAGACACACACACACTTCCAGACACAGACACACACACTTACTGACAGACACACACACTCACTTTCAGACACACATACACACACTTCCAGACATACACACACACTGACAAACACACACACTCACTGACAGACAGACAGATACACACACACACACACACTCACTGACAGACAGATACACACACTCACTGACAGATAGATACACTCACTGACAGACAGATACACACGCACACTTACTGACAGACAGATACACACACACACACACACTCATTGACAGACAGATACACACACACACTTACTGACAGACACACACTCACACTTCCAGACACACACTGTCACACACACACACTCACTGACAGAGAGACAGACACACACACAGACTCACTGACAGACAGATACACACACACACTCACTTCCAGACACACACTCACAAATTAATTTTATTTCTTGTTGCTCCTACCTTTAAGAGTTCTCTGGGGCCTCTCCCTGGGATCCAGTGTCTTCGATGATCTTCCTGCTCCTCTCTGCTCCCTCGCGCAGTTTAGTGATGCGGGGCCGGAATTACGTAATATTCCAGCTCCCGGCATCACCAGAGAGGGCGCGCGAGGGAGCAGGAAGATCATCAGCAGAGGCCGCCTGCCTTCTTCCTTACGCGGCCGGTATATTGCTGCAGAGTAGGCACCTGCCATCTGGGACAAGCAGGTGCCTACTCTGCCTCGCTACCGGGGCGCCCTAGATGGCCAGTTGGCCACCTGCTGGGCTCCCTGTGACAGGCCATTGGCCTTCTCCGCGCGGCACTTGCCTCCTCCTGACGCCAGGGACCGGTGCTGCAGCGGCCCGCCCCTGCTGTCAAGGGCATTCAAAGACTCTTTGAGGGGCACTGAAAGACTGTCAGGGGCATTGAAATTCTCTGCTAGGGACATTAAAAGGCTCTGTAGGGGATATTAAAAGGCGCTGTCAGGGGCATTGAAAGACTCTGTAAGGGTCATTGAAATTCTCTTGCTCCTAAAAAAGAGGGACATTAGGATAGAAAAGAGGGGCAGAGATATTTGGGTCCAAAATAGGGACTGTCCCTCCTAAACAGGGGCACTTAGGAGGTATGGATCCTGGGTTGGTACTCTAGGGTCTCGCTGCTGGAAAATACATAATTTCCAAGATGAACAGTTCGAGTGCATCTTTAAACAATCAGTGCTAAACTAACGCATTTTGTCCATAAAAGTACATTTCAGCGGCACCAATGCGTAGAAATATGGGGTCCTGACAGGACAAGCAGAAAAAAGATTATCAAGAAAAAAAATTGTTAATCAGTGGGTGGAGTGCTAATTAGTGTATAAGCAGATATTTGCTTACCCCTTACTGAGAAGTTGTATAAAGTCTCGATGTGGGGTGATATGTAAAGAAAAAAGGAAACAGAGCAAATCAAGTGCAGATAGTGCTTGAATAATATTCAACACAAAGTAGATATAACTGTGCGCACTCACAATTCTCGGAGCCTGGAAATAAAGCTCTATATCAATGCAGACGTGCTTTTTCTAGGCATCAACCCAGCTTCTTGAATGGATGAAGAATCTTAAACTAAACAAGAAAAGGAGTAATGGTGCAGTATATCTGGATGTATCATAGATATAAAACCACTTTCTTTTTAAGGGGACTCTCACCTTACTGAGAGCCCATAGGTGCCTTGGCTCTCAGGTGTAAATGCCTGGTGTCAAAATATAGGGTGACACTCCCCTATCTCGAACCTGGAACAGGACTGGCTACCACATATTGGTGGGAATCCACTATTTATTGGTAACACTATTAAAAACAGAAGTTAACATATATAAAATCAAATAAAAGAAAACTTTACACAATACACGTTTCGCTGGGTAAGCTTCTTCAGTTGGCTGTGATATCTTCCAGGTCCAGATATTTGTTTAAATACCCATGTTTAATTGATTCCTTACAGTCTACTTTTTACTGTTGAATATTTTTGAAGCACTATCTGGACTTGATTTGCTCTGTTTCCTTTTTTCTTTACATATCACCCTACATCTAGACTTTATACAACTTCTCAGCAAGGGGTAAGCAAATATCTGCTTATACACTAATTAGCGCTCCACCCACCGATTAACCAGTTTCTTCTTGATAATCTTTTTTCTGCTATACGTTCGTGGTGAGTTAAGGAAGGTATCCCCTCACGGGTGTTTTAGAGCAGCTATTTATCACATTGTTTTGAAGTGCCATCCTTCACACTAAACTCACGAGTGAGTTATTTGTGCTTCCTAACAGGACAAGTCTGCAAGTTTACCCAATGTCCATGTGCATCTGAGTGCTATGCTGGTTTTGGGTCAAGCGTATCATCAGTGACATCATTTGCATCACGTAAGTCCTTCCATCCCATTAGTGCATGTTACAAAATCCATTTCAGTTAGGAACTCAATACAGTTGTACCATAATTTCTTTAATCTGTTCAATTAGTAGTATTAACACAGTTCAGCACATATGTGGTTAAGTCCTGATACTAATGGGTTCATAGGTTATTACTTTTAATGCCGAAATATGGCACCATAAATTGGGCTATTTCCACAATAAAACAATCAGGGTTTTGAAAGCTGCAAACATGTTTATATAACCGAAGTAACCTTGAAGTCAGTGTGTGATTTACAAGTAATTCATATTTACATAATTAATAGGGATTTATTCACTCCAGTACTAACACCCTAACACAGGGTATGGGAATAGGATGGACCCCAGGCTCCCTCCTGGCTATAAGAAGGTTTCTTGGACCCATGTCATTTTATTTTAAGCCCATAACCACCACACATTGGAGCTATATGGATCTATAGACTGTAAGCTCATTTGAACTTAGTGTTCTATAAGTCACTATACATGTTTTGTTTGAATTAAATGGATTTTTTGTTTTATATTGTACAATGCTGCAGAATACATTGGCACTATATAAATAATATCTCACCGGCCTGAGATGGAGGCAAGAGTGAAGAAGATCTGAGTCTCTTACTCCATATTTTACACATTGGGTGTCCCAGTAGGAGAGATCATAGATCAGGTGCAAACTGGCCTATAGAGTGTCCTAGAGACACCAGCACCCGGAGCTGGGTTGGGTTTGCTTAATTTTGAGGATGATGCATCTAATTAATTTGTTCAGATTTTTTTTTCATGGTATTTTCCATAGATGATTTTCTAGGAAATGTTCTCCTACCTGCTTGGGCATGACCTCTTAAGTGTCCCTTTCTTTTTTGTTTGTTGGTTGGTACTTTAGAACTATAAATAAATGAACTCTTACAAACCTATCTGCAGGGGAGACAGGGGATAAGTGATAGTCTAAATGGTGACAACCAATATTTCAGAAACTATGTCCAACTGAGCGTCAGTGTAACAGGAGACGTACAAAAGAGTACGTTGAGCGTCAGTGTAACAGGAGACGTACAAAAGAGTAAGACTCTATGGGTCCCAAAATTGGGAAAGTCCAACATCTCTGCCGGCTACTCACTACACCACCACTCGGAGCTTAGTGACCAGGCAGATAGACATGCAAAGTCACTATCACAGCCCCACTCAGTTATATAACATTATATGTTAAGAAAATAGTAGGAGAGACAAGTAAAGTAAAGGAGTAAAGATATACAAAGGGGAAAGGGTGGAGATAGAGCAGACAGTAGAGTGTGTAAGGTGGTGAAGAGACATCAAAGGAAGGTTATGAGAGGCACACAAGGAGATAAGTGGAGGTATCAGAGACACATGAACATAGTTATTCATTATTTTCACAAATTCAGAATCTCAAAGCTATTCCTGTAAGAGGTCTGGAATTGGGTCAGGGGAAGGCAAGACAGCAGTAGGAATGAGTGTCAATGAGAGAGGGGAAGATGAAGACAAAAAAAACAACAGGACATGGCACATAATTAAGTTTTTTCCCTCCAAATTCATAAGAGAGAGATCTCTTGTTGTCCCTATGTGCATCAACATAAAAATATAATATAACCCGATTTCCACTTCCTTAACGTTTTCCCAAACCTCCCCAAATATTACAAGGAGACACGGACAGCAGGTGGATAGGGAAAAACCATCACTGGTTGCTTTGATAATCAATAATAAAAAAGGCTTTCAACATTTAACTGATAAAGTAAATAAGTGTTAATACTGAATAGCTGTAGGTAGTGAAGCCCTAACTTTATGCCTCAGATGATGTGGCTCCCACCTAGTCCTGCAGCAGAGCCCCATCCTTTCAGCCTAAGCAGATGCATACTGGACCTCAGTGGAGATCTTCGGCCACAGCACCTTACCGAGATGCTCTGGAAGAGCTCCCCAACAGGCCAACACCCAGAGAGGAAAACAGCCCAACCAAAACCTGCCAGCACTCCCATCCTCCATCTCTACAATACTCCTCTCGCTTTAGAGGTAAATAGGACATAACTCTCGCTCTACATAGTATTTGCGCTGTCAGTCCTAAGTAGTTTTTTTGGGGGAAAGTTAAAACGGCCAGAGCAGCGAGCTCGACCAAGCAGGCCTCGTACTGGGAAACTAACCACCCCAAAAAAGGAGAAGCAAAACTCATTGCAGAAACCACCAGCAAGTCCACTACCGAAAACTCAGGGCGGGAAGACCTGCAGAGGACAAAGCAGAAAGAGAGAGAGACTGTCAGACTGGAAGGGCCCCCAATAAGATATGACAAGACCCCCTCCTTCCTGCCACAAAAAGTAACCATTTAGTTGCACCCCCCTCCAAGGAGATATCCCCTGAATGTGTTACTTGCCCACTATAGTGCCCCCCACTCACAATATTCTTATGGCAGCAATAAATAATGCTGTATTATAGGCTTGGTGTAATTGTAATGATACAATTTATGGTTATTTAATAGAGACAGAATTGACCAGAGAATTGCGAATTTTAAGTAGTTAAATTGCAAAAACTCTCCAGCTCTCCTAGTCTGGACTCAAATCTTCAATTCCTTTCTCAGTTCATAAAAGGAAGATATAAAACATTTTCAGTGGATTGTATTTGTTACCAATAGCCCTGTATTTCATTAGTTTGATGGTTGTTTTGTGTGTAGAAATTGAGATTTATACTCAGACCCGTGAATAATGAATAGCTAGGAATGGAAGTGCATAGTTTTTGGCCAAAACAGACAAACTGGAACAAAATCTGAATTGGAGATTTTTTTAAATGTATTTATTTATTGACTGGTTTGGTCTTAAAGCTGCCCAATGTAACAATTCCTGGTTTTACACAGAGGGTGTTTTATATTAGTGATTATAGTGATTAGGATATATCGGGATCCGGCAATGATGGTTTATATTAGTGATTAGGATATATTGGGATACAGTGAGGATGGTTTATATTAGTGATTAGGATATATTAATACAGTGAGGATGGTTTATATTAGTGATTAGGATATATTAGGATACAGTGAGGATGGTTTATATTAGTGATTGGGATATATTGGGATACAGTGAGAATGGTTTATATTAGTGATTAGGATATATTGGGATACAGTGAGGATGGTTTATATTAGTGATTAGGATATATTGGGATACAGTGAGGATGGTTTATATTAGTGATTAGAATATATTGGGATACAGTGTGGATGGTTTATATTAGTGATTAGGATATATTGGGATACAGTGAGGATGGTTTATATTAGTGATTAGGATATATTGGGATACAGTGAGGATGGTTTATATTAGTGATTAGGATATATTGGGATACAGTGAGGATGGTTTATATTAGTGATTAGGATATATTAGGATACAGTGAGGATGGTTTATATTAGTGATTAGCATATATTAATACAGTGGGGATGGTTTATATTAGTGATTATGATATATTGGGATACAGTGAGGATGGTTTATATTAGTGATTAGGATATATTAGGATACAGTGAGGATGGTTTATATTAGTGATTAGGATATATTGGGATACAGTGAGGATGGTTTATATTAGTGATTGGGATATATTAATACAGTGAGGATGGTTTATATTAGTGATTAGGATATATTGGGATACAGTGAGGATGGTTTATATTAGTGATTAGGATATATGAATACAGTGAGGATGGTTTAAATTAGTGATTAGGATATATTGGGATACAGTGTGGATAGTTTATATTAGTGATTAGGATATATTAATACAGTGAGGATGGTTTATATTAGTGATTAGGATATATTAATACAGTGAGGATGGTTTATATTAGTGATTAGCATATATTGGGATACAGTGAGGATGGTTTATATTAGTGATTAAGACATATTAATACAGTGAGGATGGTTTATATTAGTGATTAGGATATATTAATACAGTGAGGATGGTTTATATTAGTGATTAGGATATATTGGGATACAGTGAGGATGGTTTATATTAGTGATTAGGATATATTAGGATACAGTGAGGATGGTTTATATTAGTGATTAGGATATATTGGGATACAGTGAGGATGGTTTATATTAGTGATTGGGATATATTAATACAGTGAGGATGGTTTATATTAGTGATTAGGATATATTGGGATACAGTGAGGATGGTTTATATTAGTGATTAGGATATATGAATACAGTGAGGATGGTTTAAATTAGTGATTAGGATATATTGGGATACAGTGTGGATAGTTTATATTAGTGATTAGGATATATTAATACAGTGAGGATGGTTTATATTAGTGATTAGCATATATTGGGATATAGTGAGGATGGTTTATATTAGTGATTAGGATATATTAATACAGTGAGGATGGTTTATATTAGTGATTAGCATATATTGGGATACAGTGAGGATGGTTTATATTAGTGATTAGGACATATTAATACAGTGAGGATGGTTTATATTAGTGATTAGGATATATTAATACAGTGAGGATGGTTTATATTAGTGATTAGGATATATTGGTATACAGTGAGGATGGTTTACAGTAGTGATTAGGATATATTGGGATACAGTGAGGATGGTTTATATTAGTGATTAGGATATATCGGGATACAGTGAGGATGGTTTATATTAGTGATTAGGATATATTGGGATATAGTTAGGATGGTTTATATTAGTGATTAGGATATATTGGGATACAGTGAGGATGGTTTATATTAGTGATTAGGATATATTGGGATACAGTGAGGATGGTTTATGTTAGTGATTAGGATATATTGGGATACAGTGAGGATGGTTTATATTAGTGATTAGGATATATTGGGATACAGTGAGGATGGTTTATATTAGTGATTAGGATATAATGGAATACAGTGAGGATGGTTTATATTAGTGATTAGGATATATTGGGATACAGTGTGGGTGGTTTATATTAGTGATTAGGATATATTGGGATACAGTGAGGATGGTTTATATTAGTGATTAGGATATATCGGGATACAGTGAGGATGGTTTATATTAGTGATTAGGATATATCGGGATACAGTGAGGATGGTTTATATTGGTGATTAGGATATATCGGGATACAGTGAGGATGGTTTATATTAGTGATTAGGATATATCGGGATACAGTGAGGATGGTTTATATTAGTGATTAGGATATATTGGGATACAGTGAGGATGGTTTATATTGGTGATTAGGATATATTGGGATACAGTGAGGATGGTTTATATTGGTGATTAGGATATATTGGGATACAGTGAGGATGGTTTATATTGGTGATTAGGATATATTGGGATACAGTGAGGATGGTTTATATTGGTGATTACGATATATTGGGATACAGTGAGGATGGTTTATATTGGTGATTAGGATATATTGGGATACAGTGAGGATGTTTTATATTAGTGATTAGGATATATTAGGATACAGTGTGGATGGTTTATATTGGTGATTAGGATATATTGGGATATAGTTAGGATGGTTTATATTAGTGATTAGGATATATTGGGATACAGTGAGGATGGTTTATATTAGTGATTAGGATATATCGGGATACAGTGAGGATGGTTTATATTAGTGATTAGGATATATTGGCATACAGTGAGGATGGTTTATATTAGTGATTAGGATATATTGGCATACAGTGAGGATGGTTTATATTAGTGATTAGGATATATTAATACAGTGAGGATGGTTTATATTAGTGATTAGGATATATTGGGATACAGTGAGGATGGTTTATATTAGTGATTAGGATATATTGGGATACAGTGAGGATGGTTTATATTAGTGATTAGGATATATTGGGATACAGTGAGGATGGTTTATATTAGTGATTAGGATATATTGGGATACAGTGAGGATGGTTTATATTAGTGATTAGGATATATTGGGATACAGTGAGGATGGTTTATATTAGTGATTAGGATATATTGGGATACAGTGAGGATGGTTTATATTAGTGATTAGGATATATTGGGATACAGTGAGGATGGTTTATATTAGTGATTAGGATATATTGGGATATAGTTAGGATGGTTTATATTAGTGATTAGGATATATTGGGATACAGTGTGGATGGTTTATATTGGTGATTAGGATATATTGGGATATAGTTAGGATGGTTTATATTAGTGATTAGGATATATTGGGATACAGTGAGGATGGTTTATATTAGTGATTAGGATATATTGGGATACAGTGAGGATGGTTTATATTAGTGATTAGGATATATTGAGATACAGTGAGGATGGTTTATATTAGTGATTAGGATATAATTGGTTGGTGTAGATTATATAATGAAGATATTATGTTTATTTATATTACAATGAGGAAGATTAGGTTGTGTTTGTACAGTATAATGGGGATATTGTGTTTATATTATAGTGATAATACCAGGTGTATTTATTTATTATAATACATCCTCTATCATCTCTATCTCTATCTCTATCTCTATCTCTATCTCTATCTCTATCTCTATCTCTATCTCTATCTCTATCTCTATCTCTATCTCTATCTCTATCTCTATCTCTATCTCTATCTCTATCTCTATCTCCTCATACTGAGAGGTCTGGTAACTGGCTGCAGAACCCGCCTTTTATACTGCAGAGGGCCGGTCACACCGCGTCACCATGGTAACTGTCCCCGCCCATTCAAACGGTCACCGCCCGCTGACGTCGCAGACTGTCAGAAACAAGGAGGAAGTGGAGAGACAGGTAATAACCGACCCAGGCTGGGAGTACTGAGAGTATTAATACTCTGTTACTGTCTGCCCGCACTGTGTGAGTATTAATACTCTGTTACTGTCTCCCCTCACTGTGTGAGTATTAATACTCTGTTACTGTCTGCCCTCACTGTGTGAGTATTAATACTCTGTTACTGTCTGTGTGCCCTCACTGTGTGAGTATTAATACTCTGTTACTGTCTGTCTGCCCTCACTGTGTGAGTATTAATACTATCTGCCCTGTGAGTATTAATACTGTCTGTCTGCCCTGTATGAGTATTAATACTGTCTGCCCGCACTGTGTGAGTATTACTACCTGCCCTGTGAGTATTATTACTGTCTGTCCAGTGAGTATTATTACTATCTGTCCTGTGAGTATTATTATCTGATCACGATCTGCTCTCTCTGTGTCAGTATGGGGGATCACTATCTGCTCTCTCTGTGTGTCAGTATGTGGGGATCACTGTCTGCTCTCTCTGTGTCAGTATGTGGGGGATCACTATCTGCTCTCTCTGTGTCAGTATGTGGGGGATCACTATCTGCTCTCTCTGTGTCAGTATGTGGGGGATCACTATCTGCTCTCTCTGTGTCAGTATGTGGGGGATCACTATCTGCTCTCTCTGTGTCAGTGTGGGGGGATCACTGTCTGCTCTCTCTGTGCCAGTATGGGGGATCACTGTCTAACCTGCCTGTGCCAGTATGGAGGGGATCACTGTCTGCTCTCTCTGTGCCAGTATGGGGGATCACTGTCTGCTCTCTCTGTGTGTCGGTATGTGGGGATCACTATCTGCTCTCTCTGTGTCAGTATGGGGGATCACTATCTGCTCTCTCTGTGTGGTGTATGGGGGATCACTGTCTGCTCTCTGTGTGTGCTGGTATGGGGATCACTGTCTGCTCTCTCTGTGCCAGTATGGGGATCATACTGCTCTCTCTGTGCCGGTGTAGGGGATCACTGTCTGCTCTCTCTGTGCCGGTATGGGATCACTGTCTGCTCTCTCTGTGTCAGTATGTGGGGGATCACTATTTGCCCTCTCTGTGTCAGTATGGGGGGGTATCACTACCTGCCCTCTCTGTGTCAGTATGGGGGGGGAACACTATTTGCCCTCTCTGTGTCAGTATGGGTGGGATCACTATTTGCCCTCTCTGTGTCAGTATGGGTATGCTACCTGCCCTCTCTGTGTCGGTATGGAGGTATCACTACCTGCCCTCTCTGTGTCGGTATGGGATCACTATTTACCCTCTCTGTGTCAGTATGGGGGATCACTATCTGCCCTCTCTCTCTGTGTCGGTATGGGGGGATCACTATCTGCCCTCTCTCTGTCAGTATGGGGGGATCACTATCTGCCCTCTCTCTGTGTCAGTATGGGGTGTGTGCTCTTTCTATGTTCGGTAGTATGAGTGATGTACCCTGTGTGAGTATGGGACAGATATGAACTTGGTCTTACTGAAAGCTATTTATCATATCCTGAGTATCTGAAATCATAATGTGACAATGTCGTCTTATAAGCAATGCTGTGATTTTTATGGAGATTGTCAAACAATGTAGGCTGCTATCAGGGGCCCGTGCCAGTTTGAGAGCTATATTATGGGGCATTGCTGGCTTGCTGTGAGTGAGATTCCCTAATTTGATGTTATACCCAGGGCCCATTGGCATAATAATTGGGTTTTTGTTTTCTCCAATTCAGCTGAAGTCCCTGGGGCCTTCTTGCTGTGGGGACTGTGTTTCACCTTATTACTACAACTGAGCATTATAGGAGTTGCAGACCACTGCAACAAGCATATCAGGCTGCCTGTATTGTTGGGACATATATCGTAATTTGGTTAGTGTTTTGGCTGGCTTAGCATTGTGGGGATTTGTGAGCTCAAGGAGCCTTTCTGTCAGTTTTTCCTTAACTCCTGAACACTGTTGAACTATGATAGAATGAATATAGGGCACCTGATGTTTTGCTGGATATGTATGTTGAGATTTGCCTGTTCTCCCGATAAATTCTATATTGTGTGTGTGTGTGTGTGTGTGTGTGTGTGTGTATGTGTGTATATATATGTGTGTGTGTGTGTGTGTGTGTGTGTGTGTGTGTATATATGTGTATATATATATAATATGTAACCCTCACAGGTTACTTTGTAAAAATGTCTGTCACATGACCATACCAGGAAATGGCAGGTTGAATAGAAGTGGGTGCAGTCTTTCTCCTGACTTCGCACCAACAGTAATGTGAATATGATCTTGATTTGACAACGTACTTTGCTATGACAAAGTGAAAAAGTCACCTTACCTAAGGAACAATAACATGTTGTGTAACAGAGCTCGGTATTCACTTTACAGTGCCACATTTACACTGCCTGTGTTATTCATAGTTACATAGGCTGAAAAGAGACTTGCGTCCATCAAGTTCAGCCTTCCTCACATATATGGTTTTGCTGTTGATCCAAAAGAAGGCAAAAAACCCAGTCTGAAGTGCTTCCAATTTTGCAACAAACTAGAAAAAATTCCTTCTTGAACCCAAAATAGCAGTCAGATGTCTCCTTGGTTCAAGCAGCTATTACCCTGCTAATTAGAAATGATATCCCTGTATGTTATGTTCTACCCAAGAACAAGAATATTCATCTAGACCAATTTCTTTTAGTTTAAAGACTAACCTATCGTGGGGAACCGTATCAAATGTCTTGGCAAAATCCAAATAGATCACATCCACTGCAACACCCTGATCTATACTTCTACTTACTTCTTCGTAGAATGCAATTAGGTTAGTTTGACATGAGCTATGTTTCATAAAACCATGCTGATTGTTGCTAATAAAGTTCTTCCCAATGAGTTCCTGGATATTATCCCTTAATAGCCCTGCAAATATTTTCGCAGTTACAGAAGTTGGGCTCACAGGTCTATAATTTCCAGGCAAGGATTTTGAACCCTTCTTAAATATAGGAACAACATCTGCCTTCCTCCAATCCTCCGGTACAATACCTGAAACAAAATGCATGTCAATATTAGGAATTCAACCTTAATTTCAAATTGACGAGTAAGAACTAAGAACTTTGGCTAGTGTGCCCTAAAATTTGAAAATAATTTAGAATTCTCTGAAATTCCCATTTTATGTAAATAACCCTGACAGACTGAGTGTCGGAACAGGTTTTGTGGCTCCAAATTACTGGTTTGTACTGTTTGCCTTTAATTTGGAGGTTTGAAGTTCAAACTGGAATGTGGATTGCTGTTAGTGTTCAAAAGTATCGTTACAGCGCTCGCAGTTCTTTTAACACATACAGTGCAGAATTACAGTGGAAATAACCGCTTCTTTATAGATTTATTTTTATTATAAAATGTTATCATAATAGTTTCCTTAAGGATTTTATATCTTCTGCAAGTCTCAGTAGAACCTACAGAAAATTAATTGTAATCACATATTGTGGAGATTTGATCAGAGAACGACACATTACTGGCCAAAATAGTTTTAAGGAGACACTATAGGAACCCAGACCACTTCAGCTAATTGAAGTGGTCTGGGTGCAGTGTCCCTTTTGCACTTGCATGTTTACATTGCAGCACTACCAGACAGCCACTAGAGGGCTTCCTGAATTGAAATGGACTTTTGGTCCGGTATCTGGTGCTGGAGTCCTCACGCTCTGTATGAGGACCTCCAGTGTCCGATTTTTCCCCATTGGAAAGCATTGATTCACTGGTTTCCTATGGGGAGGTTTAATGCATGCATGGCATTTACCGTGCATGCGCATGAGCAATTCTTGCGGGACGTTGGAGGGACATCGGCGCTGGGATCAGGTAAGTAAATAAAGGGTTTTTAACCCTTTATTTACCTGGGCGAAGGGTGACGAGGGAGGGTTGAAGACAGAGGGAGCTACAGTGCCAGAAATACGGCTTTGTATTCCTGGCACTATAGTATCCCTTTAAACAGACACCTGGTAGCAAATTAATGTAAAGTTAAGAAGACATTGAACGTGAGAACCTATTCTGTTGATATTAGTTAATGTATAGATTGCCTTTTCACTTATATAAAGGACCACTAACATTACACAGACCAGTTCATCTCAATGAAGTGGGTGCAGTGGTCCTGCCATTTAAACCATTTACTGTTGTTTTGTAGAAACAGCAATATTTACATTGAAAGGTTTAATATACCTATTGGTTGTCTTCCTGAAATCCACTAAAGCCACTTCCATCTCCAGAACGCCATAGCTATGTTTGATTGAGGAACTCAGCATTTGGAAATGAGGCGTGTAATCTTGATTTACAATGCTTCATCGGGTCCTGCATAATATTTATATAACTTTAATGTTTATCAGTAAAGGGGGTAAACAGTGGTCACAGTGATAGAAGGGAAACGATAGTTTCAAAAAAACAATATTTTCAGGTCTACAGGTTCACTTTAATAACAATAACATTGATGTCAAAAGTATCAGCACAGTCAGATTGTGATCACTTTAACATTGTAAACTGATCAGCAGCATAATTATCAAATGATTGAATTACATTTCATTACTAGGATCCATTTCCGTGAAGAACTGCAAAATTATTATTATATTTATACAGCACCAACAAATTCTATAGCGCTTTACAATGGGTGGACTAACAAACATGTAACAGTAACCAGGCAAGTTTGATGCACAGAAACAGTAGGGGCTGAGGGGCCCTGCTCAATGAGCTTACATGCTAGAGGAAGTGGGGTAAAGTGAGACAAAAGGTAAAGAAGTATTAGGGAAGTAGATTGGTAGAATTCTTTTCAATGAAGACTTAGTGTGGGCTTTTTTGGAGCCATTAACAGTTTAATTAACTCCTTAAATAGCTACACAGGTTAGTGTACTTGTTAATGCCTCAGACAAAGGCACTTTAGTAGCACCGCGTCAGGCTTTATTTTTTATTTTAATTCACTGCACATTTTAGTTTGGCACTTCTTTGTTATGGTGTGAGGATTCATATAGCATTCCATGAAGGACTATTCTCTTTTATGAGGTCAATTTGGGGCATTCTCTACAGATAGTAATGAATGGATGGAATTATGCTTTTGTCCAGGGCTGGACTGGCCCACCGGGATACCTGGAAATTTCCCGGTGGGCCGTCGGCACCTGGGGCAGGGCTGGCAGCTGGCTCTTCTGGCGGGCGCAGGGGGAGCTGGCTGTTCTGTCTCTGCTGCCCCGGTCTCATTAAGCAGCGCGCTGGGGTGGGGGAGCAGAGACAGAACAGCCAGCTCCCTCTGCGGCCGCCAGAAGAGCCAGCTCCCCCTATGCGGCCGCCAGCACACAGGTAGCAATTATGTATGTCAATGTGAGTGTATGTGTCTGTGTCATGGTGTGTGTGTGTCTCTGTCTGTGTCATGGTGTGTGTGTGTCTCTGTCTTGGTCATGGTGTGTGTGTGTGTGTCTGTTTGTGTCATGCAATGTGTGTCTGTGTCATTGTGTGTGTCTGTCTGTGTCATGGTGTGTGTGTGTGTGTCTGTCTGTCTGTCATGGTGTGTGCATCTGTGTCATGGTGTGTGTGTCTCTGTCTGTGTCATGGTGTGTATGTGTGCCTGTCTGTGTCATGGTGTGTGTCTGTCTCTGTCATGGTGTGTTTGTGTCATGGTGTGTGTTTGTGTGTCTGTCTGTGTCACAGTCTCTCTGTGTCGTGGTGTGTGTTTCTGTCTGTCATGTAATGTGTGTCTGTGTTATGGTGTGTGTGTGTGTCTTTTTTAAGGTGTGTGTCTATCATGGTATGTGTGTGTGTCTGTCTGTCATGGTGTGTCTGTGTTTCTGTCTGTGTCACAGTGTGTGTTTGTGTCACGGTCTGTGTCATGGCGTGTGTCTGTCATGTTGTGTGTGTGTGTGTGTGTGTGTGTGTGTGTTTTTACTCACCTTGGTTTTCCCCCACGTCGTGCTGGTCTCCCCTCGACTGGCCCTGCCTCTATGGCTGAGATCATCAAGCTTGATGATCTCAGCCAATCCGCACTGACACAGGAAGCACCTCTAGTGACCGTCTGAGTGTCTGTCACTAGGAAGCAATCTTTTCTCTAAAAAGTCAGTGTTTACATTGAAAAGCCTGCAGGGACAGGCTATAGACACCAGAGCCACTACATTAAGCTGTGTGTGTGCGTGCTTGCTTGTGTGTGTGTGCCTGCTACTGAGTGAGCTTGTGTTTTTATGTCAATGACCTTATGTATATCAGTGAGATTGTTTGTTTGTCTGTGAGGCTGTGTATCAATCAGCTTGTGTCAGTGAGATTGTCTGTGACTGCATGTGAGTATGCTTACTGTATAATTAAAATTTTTACTCCTGAAAGGACCAATATTTTATATTGGAAAAAGATATATATATATATATATAATCATCTAGGATGGCAAGACATAGCCTTACATATTACATGCGACAATATATGGCGCAATGACTTATGGGGATGGCGTAGATTTTTGTATTTTTTTTTTTCAGGGTTGCTTTGGAATCCCCAGTCCGGCCCTGCTTTTGTCTATGTAGTCTACAGTCTTTACTTTTTTGACTTACTCAGCTAGCGACCTACAAGTTATTTTTAGACCTAGCTAGTTGAGAAATCTTTTTTTTATATGACAGCATTACAAGACTGACTGGGTGGGGACCATACCTTTGCAAGCCTTCATTCACTTTTTATAATTTTTCTAGATAGCAACTTTGACGTCGTATTTTTCTTAGTTAGTTTAGTGAAGGCTTCTCTGTGTATGCTATTGTCTCTTTGTTAGCGGCTCAGACATTCTGCACAGCTACAGTGGGATATATTGTTTCAGCATTTTTGGCTACAGTATTTGCAAAGCGCATCTGTGTTTAGCTTTATAGACTTGATATGCTCGCAATAGGAGGCTACATTGTTCAAGTTTTTCCTGTTACATTATCCTACTAGTTTATCTGTGTCTAGTTCTATAGGCTAGCCTTCTTTTCTGAGATACAGATCTCCACTCTCTCCTCCCAACCTGTTTGTTGGTGAGGATTATGCTACAAAGGTTCCCACCTCATAGCTTCCTTCCAATTATAGTCCAGTAGCCTTCTACATTCTTACCCATCAGGTTTGCTGAGCTTATTAGCTCTCCTTAGGGAATTATATACTGTGTGATTTTTTTTTTTTTGATTTTTTTTTTATGTGATACTTATGTTCTTCAATAAATTGTGGTTTAAATTTATATACATTTCTTGCAAACCCTAGTGACTTTATTCTGTCCTCTGGACTTTGTCCATTGGCCACCTCAGTGTACATTTCCGAGCCATGACGCATTTAAAATCACACACAGTTAATAGTATGTGCTGGTGATGTTGCCCTGAACTGGACAGATGTAGAGATGTATGGAGTAACCACATCCTTCCAATCTCTATTAGCTTGTTTTCCTGGCATCATGTTTTCTGAGTACTTCATGTTCTTACCATGTTCTGCTTATGGTGCTTTTGTTCTGCTGTTTTTAACCCTAAAAAGACATATAAATTAAGATCTTTTTTTTTTTTTTTAAATGCCTAAATATCATATTGGCACCTTTTTAATGAAACACGTTTCCATGGACACAATATGATAGTGTGCTCTGCTAAGTGTGGGCTCAGGGGGCATAAAGCTTTCCTGCCATTGGACTTTGGAGTAGTGGAAACTTGTTTTCTAATCTCTGGATTCATAAATACCCCTTCAACATCTGGTAATTCATCAGTCACACCTAGGGTCCGCAAATGCCAGGAGAATGCTGCTTGATTGCATAGTGCCAAGTGCAAATATTGGTGGGGCAAGATTAAAGGGATTCTATAGTGCCAGGAAAACAAACCCATTTTCCTGGCACTATAGGCTCCTGCAGTGCCCCCCTCGCCTCCGTGAGGACATCCAGCGTCAGATAACGGACCAAAGGTCCATTTCAATTCTGGAAGTCCCTTTAGTGGAGAGGCTAGTGAGCATCATATTGAATATATAATGCAATAATTAGGAAAGATTATTATTTTTCTCTGTGCATGTTGTTCTGAAATGTACAGATGACTAAGGCAGCCATATCTCACCTTGCCTGGAGTTGCTTACAAAATATGTACATCCCAATACTGCATTAATTAAAACATTGCTTTACTGTATTTTGTATCTTTTATAAACATTCATATTTATTGAGGTGGCCTAGACATTTTTTTTATTATCATTTTTCATATCAATGCTTGTTTAAGAAGTAGTCATGAAATAGTCATATTAAGACATATCACAGGTTATATTTGGCAAAGTTAAGTGTTTACAAGAATGGTAGCAAAGCATTAATATTTTTTAAAGCAAGAGGGTTCAACTGTACAGGAAGAGCAGCCTGGGAGGTAAAATGAAGTACAATGAGTTGAGAAAGGTGCACATCAAGCGTCAAGAATTGCATTTTGCCTGTCGGGGGATCAGGCTGTCTGCTAATGTGCCCCTAACCAAAGTGGGCTACTGGGGGTGAAAGAAGGTGAAGGTGTGGAGCTAAATGCCTGCTAAGATGGGCTAGGCCCTTATCATCAGTGCTTCATAGGGTAGGGAGCTAGGTGTTATGAGGCCTCCTATGAGGTTATGGCTATTATAGATAGCTAATAATATGAAGAGCGTGATAGTGGACACAGAAATAAACCTAAACGGCTACATAAACATAAAGACTCTAACTGCACTTATGTCCCATGGTCCCTAGCCAGTTCAAGTTCCAGATGTCAGGGTCATCCTATTAGCAGGGATAAAGGGGACAATGCGAGATAGATCCCAGAGATGATTATACTGCTGTCCATCTGAGCCAGATGGAGGTACCGGTAGGCCCACGTCCTGAAGGAGGGCCAGTGATTCGGCTAGTGTGGATACTTTGTGCGCTGTCTCGCCATGTTTGACCACGACGAATCTTGGTGACATCCACCTGTATTCTATTCCAGCTGCTCTCAATTGGCTTGTAACAGGGTCTTGCCCTTCAGTGCTGACATCATGATTCTTTTGTTCTGGGATAGTGAACAGTGGACGATAACCTCTCGCACCGCCGAGGCCGTTGCCCCACCAGATTTTGGGAGGCGATATGTCCCATCCAAGGTGAACTTTTTGGCCTGTGTTGGCGGTAAGACAGAGACTACTATTAACACAGTAAAGGAGTTTAAGCATGCGTGGGATAGGCATAAGGCTATCCTAACTATATAAGATACGGCTAGGGACTAATGAAAGTATTTAGAAAATTGGGCAGACTAGATGGGCCGAATGGTTCTTATCTGCCGTCACATTCTATGTTACTAGGCGCCTAAAGTAGTGCGGGAGCGCCTGCAGCTTAATAGCATCGGGGATACCCCTGATCTTTAGGTGGTTGCGTCAGGACATGTCGTCAAGCGCTGTGTAATGGAGTGCTAATGTGGATTGAGAGATGATTGTAAGTGGTGGACAGAGTCCTGCAATAGTAAAAGTCACTCCTTGAGGGTGGCAATTTCCTCCTCCGAGGTATTTACTCTATCTGTAACCACTTGTACATCAGCCTTCATGATAGCCACATCGACTGCCAACAAATTTTTTATTTCCACTACTAGGTTGTGGAAGTTCTATTTAGTGTAGTTTGTTCCAGTCCCGTCAGCTGCGGGGGAAATTCGGCCTGGGTGAGGCTCCCTGAATCTTCCGCTGCCACAAGGCCCTCTGGCTCCGCCATCTTGGGCTGCAGCTGCTGTTGGAGAAGGGTCCCTATATTCCTCGACCCTGAAGGTAAGTCGGGTTGTGATCTCTGGGATTTCCTTCCCATATCTGGGTGTGGTGAGTGCTGGGTGCGGGAACGTCCGCTAGTACACCAAAAGGCCCCAGGTCGCCGTACACCTCAGAAAGCGCAAGGTCCGGGAATAGATGGTAGGCCCCGGGTTTGCGTGTTTGCCGTTTTGACTTGGGGTTACGAAAAAACGGCATAGGTCGACGCTGTATGGTTCTTAGAGATGAGATCAGGTCTATAGTCAGAATTTGAGTGTTTTGCAGGTATTCATGCTTAGCTATGAGAAATGACGTCTGCTCCAGGACAAGGTCAGGCTCCGCTCCCTCATAACTGAAACGGAGTGCTTGTACTTGAGAGTGTACACCTGCTGTAGTGGTTATGGTGCCCTAGTTCAATCCCACAGTAAGTAGTCAACTTGTTTTAGTACATTATGACAACTTACTGGGATGCATTTGATCTTCTCTCGCTGGGTAAGTGAGAAGTCTCTGTAGAATAAAGCAAACTGACCCAAGAAAGTTGGCAAACCATCCTAAATTTACCAGCCGTGAGAGTGCGCCAGGGAACTCCTGGCACCAGAACTGTAGTAGTTATGGAGTGTTCCCTTAAAATCTATAGAACTCTAGTCATGAGTGCAACTCATTAAATGCCTCTGTACATTTGCAGCTGACATTTCATAAAGTCTAAATAAAAAAATAAAAACAATTTGGATTTTTAAATAGCAGATTTTAAAAACAAACAAACAAATCTTTCACTTTGTAAATTATCGAAATAAACCTATATATGACTTTTTTTCTTCTTCAGGTAAAGAGCTTGCAGGACTTCATCGAAATAAATACAGTAGCTGTTAAGAGTTTTGCCTCCTAGTTTACAATCTGTTTGTAGTTCAGTATTGTTTTTCATTGTCCGTATTTCATTATCACTGAGAATGCTTGTACCAAGCCAAGATTTATTTCACCTAAATGACTGTATCACATCTTTGGAAAGATAACTGTAGTATGTGTGGAGTCCTTTTGAAATCATCTTGCTTTCTGTATGGCAGTTTAGGTTTTGGGGACATGTTTACATTAAAGGGGAACTATAGTCATCAGAACAACTACAGCTTAATGTAGTTGTTCTGGTGAGTATAGTCCGTCCATGCAGGAAACCCCCTTTTAATGTTTACATTACAGCCTAGGGATACCTCCAGTGGTCACTCCTCAGATGGCTGCTAGAGATTGTAACGGATCACCTGGCACCCCGACTGGGTACCTCCGTTGAAGGATGCTCCTAGCGCTTCCTGAGGACTCCAAGCACTCTGGCAGACACCACAATCACTGAACCGGAGAAACAAATAAATTCTCCCAAGCATATGAATGCTGTAGACAGTTGAATAGAAACCATACGAATAGGTTTACTCTCCTAGCAGTCAAACTGGAACAGCATACAATAAATCCTTCCCCCAATAATGAGACGACACTTCACTTTGAGGGTTAAAACAGGAACTCCCTGTACTGTCACATACAGTCTCTTTTATTCCCAATCCACAAACATAGTACAGCCCACAGGGCGTTACAAAACAACCAATCAATCCGTACAATACACCCAGACACTCCCACACAAAATCCTCCCCTCTGCAGGTGATATGATTACTGAACACAATGGGTAATCTCATTATCACCGGCAGAGGAATACAGTTTTTACACAATATTTATAACTTCTAAAATATACATGTCACAAACATAAAACATACATTTTCATAATCAATCCATTCAGGGGAACAACATATTAAAAAATGGCACGAATCAGACCAGGGGTTCAAAAGTTAAGGGAAAGTCCTTTGTGACTAAATGAAGCATGGCTTTCCGGCCCAAACCAGTTTCAGAGTCTTCTATCCTGGAGATAAGTGAGAAGTAATTCAATTATCTCCCAGGACAGACACAAGACTCCATTATGCACATGGTGAGCACAGAGCATTAAACTATTATAAAATACACAAAGTCACATTTTATACATAAAACACAGACATGTCACATATCCCCAGATAGCTGGGATCTGAGCGCACAAAACTACCGAATAGCGCTCAGATCCTATTCACACAGTTCAATTGCCATGGAGCCGAAGTCTTTAACTACACGAATGTGCTCCATGGCATAGCTATCTGGGTTAACACATTCACATAAAGTCTGGTCCATAGTCCAAAGGCAAGAGGCGGGCAAGCAGCCCCCTCCAAGGACACGTGACGAGGCCGGTTTCGCCACAGAGGTAATTCCGGGGGAAGTGCTGTACACTGTGATTGACAATCAGTGTCTCGACACTCTGCATTTCCCTATGGGAAAGCATTGTGATTTGCTGAGATCATCACTTCTGATGATGTCAGGCAAGGAAGTAGATCATCTGCTAGTTTTAGTCTTTGTTGATTGTTGCAAGTTAATTTTTGTTACCTTAGTATTTAGGGGTTCTTTAAAAGTAGTGTTTACTACTGTTCTCATATTTATCATCCTGAATTCTCTTCCCAAACTTAAAGGACCACTATAGTCCCAGGAAAAAAAACTTGTTTTCCTGGCACTATAGGGTCTTTAGGTCCCACTCCCGCTGGGCTGAAGGGGTTAAAACCCCTTCAGCCACTCACCTTTCTCCAGTACCGGGCTCCCTCGGCGCTGGGGAACTCTCCTCCCTCTGCCGACATCAGCGCCAAATGCATTCAAACTGCCCATAGGAAAGCATTTCTCAGTGAGACAGCCACTAGAGGCTGGAGTAACCCTCAGTGAAACATAGCTATGTTTTCAGTTGCAGGGTTAACACTAGAGGGACCTGGCACCCAGACCACTTAATTGAGCTGAAGTGGTCTGGTTGCCTATAGTGGGCCTTTAAATATGCAAATTGTAGTTGACCTTGACTATTGGATAAACCAGCTGACGTGTCTTTGCATCGTGTCTCATCACTAAATTCATGTCCGCCAAATTCTTAAAATCATTCAGAGCTTGAAGTAGGTAGATAACCCATCACTGCTAATTTTAAAGAAAATACTTTATTGAGCTCAAAACTGTTCACGATGCTATGTAGCCCTAACATGGTTTGCTTATATTTCCAGGTAACTTGAATTGGAAGATGTCTCGAGTGATTGCCATATTAATGTTTCTGCACGGACTGACATTCTGTACGGGGGATCAGTCAAAAAGCAACACAACATCCAAATTAATCCTGGTTTCCTTTGATGGATTCAGGGCGGATTACTTATCAAAGTTCTCTTTACCTAATCTCCAGGAGTTTATGAAGGAAGGCGTGCTTGTAGAAGAAGTAAAAAATGTGTTTATCACAAAAACTTTTCCCAATCATTATTCTATAGTGACAGGCCTGTATGCCGAAAGCCATGGAATTGTGGCTAACCAAATGTATGATTCAGAAAATAACAAGACGTTTAACACCTCCACTTATAAAGATTCCTTCTGGTGGGATCAGGCAACTCCCATTTGGTTGACAAATCAGCTCCAGGGTCGTAAAAGTGGCTCTGGAATGTGGCCCGGCACTGATCTGATCAATCATAATTTCACACCTTCCTACTATCTCAATTATGACCCTAATGTAAACTTTTCTGAGAGGGTAAATAACCTCACCAATTGGTTCATGAAACCAGACAATCCAATCAACTTTGCCCTTCTGTACTGGCATGAGCCTGACTCTAGCGGACACCGTTATGGACCTGATGATGCCTCAAACATGTCAAAAGTGTTGAGTGCAGTGGATGAGAATGTTGGCTACTTGATGTCAAAGTTGAAAGAGTTTAAACTCTGGGACACGGTCAATGTGATTATAACCAGTGACCATGGAATGGCCGAGTGCTCAAAGGATAAGGTTATCAAACTAGATGATTGCATTAGTCGTGATAAATACATACTGGTGGATTCCAGTACGATCGGAGCTGTGCTTCCAGTTGGTGGTACGTATAGATGAATTACTTGTTGTTTTTGACACTTCATTGGCTTAAATTTCCTTACATTACTTTTAGAATAACTTGCTGACTGGTCATGGTATGTTTAGTTTGCTCTTAGTGCTGTTTACTAACATTTGTCAAGCCCTGATTTAGAATGTTACCTAGACCTTAGACATTGCATTGTATTATGTGGTTGGTTGCAGACAGACGGGAACATGGTTGCAGATTAGTGATGTCCCGAACTGTTCGCCGAACGGTTCGCCACGGTTTGCCACGAACGGTTCGCTGCGAACTCCAGTCAGCAGACACATTCCAGCCAATCAGCAGCAGACCCTCCATCCCAGACCCTCCTACCTCCTGGACAGCATCCATTTTGAAGCTGCATTCTTAGTGAGCTGTCCAGGAGGTGGGAGGATCTGGGAGGGAGGGTCTGCTGCTGATTGGCTGGAATGTGTCTGCTGACTGGAGTCCGTGGCGAACAGTTCGGGACATCACTATTGCAGATAACACGATTGGCTAGATGAGCACTTGGGTTGCAGGGCACAAGGATTGATGAGGAAGAAAGGGAGTATATTTGTAGCAACAGAGGGGTGAGTAGGGTGGGAAGACCTTGGCGAACAAGTGGCAGCTGTGAAAAAATGTTCGTTTGTTGAAGAGGAATGAATACCATTATAGTAATCTTATTGGCTCGTTTTTTCAGCCAGTAGTATTCTAACTTGATTAAAGATTGTTGCCCGTGACCAGAAAATGCACAGATCTCAATAGACAAATGGCATCCCTCTCCTTCTTAGAGCATTACACAAGTTATCTGACACTTGCATACATTGTGACTTTTTCACATTATTGTCTTCATGTGTAAAAGCAACGTAGTTTAAAGAGGAACTGACACTTTGTACATTTATCATTATCTAATGGATAATTAAAAATTAGCTTATGCTTGTGCAAAATAGTTAAGTTTTGCAGTGCCTATGGTCTGTTAGAAGCTGAAGCCCACATGTACATGACTAAGGTATCATGGGATGATGGTCACCTCAACAAGAAAATGCAGTAGAGGTGAGTATTTTTTTACTCTGCCCCGCCTAATTATTCACCCCAGTAAATGTTTTGGTACTCTATTCACTGTCCTTTAAAGGGACACTGTAGGCACCCAGATAACCTCATCTCATTAGTGTGGTCTTGGTGCAATACCCCTGTTTCCTTAACCCTGCAAGTGAAAACATTGCAGTTTTCAAGAAACTACAATGTTTAAATTTCAGTTTTAAGACCGCCACTAGAGTTGCGTCCTCGATTCACATGGGAGTTTAACTCCTGTGAAATGAAGCTGGACATCCTTATGTTTTGCATGAGGACATCCAACGTCTTCAAAATTCCCATAGGAAAGCTATGATTCAATACTTATTGGGAAGGCCTAATGCTTGCTCGCTGAGCATGTGCATTGGGATGTACATCAGCATGACGTTGCTGGAGGAGGAGGTAAGTGGGGGGAGGGAGGAGAATGGTTTTCAACCCTTTTCAAATTTGTGCATGAGGGTCCTAGTATGTGAAGTGTACTATAGTGTTGAGAATACAGGTTTGTATGACTAATGCTATAGTAAATAGACTTTCCTCTCCATTCATTTTTTTTCCTCCCATAACACGACTGTATTAATTTTAAAAAGTGTCATGTTCTCAACCTGCTGTAGTCAACGAAAAGTGAGAGTGTATGTAAACAACGATTTATGTTTTCTTGTATGAATTGCTTTACAAAATCCAAATCCTGGTTTTATGTTCAAGTGACCTGGCTCTTATAAATGTTCTTTCCGTAGATCCGCAGGATGTATACACCAAGCTAAAAAACTGCAGTACAAACATGCAGGTGTACCTGAAAAAGGACATACCCGATCATTATCACTACAAACATAATAGCCGTATCCAGCCTATACTTCTAGTGGCAGACGAAGGCTGGTTCATCGTGCAGAACGGATCACTAAAAACATGTAAGGTTTCTTGTTCACCATTACCTCGCTATAAAGAATATCTTATAATTCTAAGACTATATATACACATCATGGTTATCGATATGTACTGATTATTCTATGTGCAATAAGTATGGGGAACCTTCAGCTTTTTTCCCAATGTGAAAAGGGTGCAAGGCTCTTTTACCAACCTATACTTTTGCAGTTACTTAGCACAACTCTGTTATGTTAAATTTGTTTAGAATTGAAATATCAATTTAAATTAAATGCGCTGTACACTCGGTCTGAAAATGCAGATGTACACATGGCACATCTCTTGTATATTAAGTCTGTGAAGCAGTAAGGTGCAAAAAGAAAAAAGAAACACCTAGAGTAGAACTTTAAAGCACAGTATTTTTCTATAACATGCTTCTCATAGCCCACATTGTTTTGTTGCACTTAGTTTATGTCTTTGAAAACTGGGAATAATTAAATGTAAAATGAGTGGTGGAAAATACAGCTCTGAATGAATGATAAGTGATTTCTTCCTATATTGCAGTGGGAAATCATGGCTATGACAACCGCCTACCCAGCATGCATCCCTTCCTGGCTGCCCGCGGACCAGCATTTCAGAAGAATTACAAAATTTCCACCATAAACATGGTGGATATCTACCCTATGATGTGTCACATCCTTGGATTAAAGGAAATGCCCAACAATGGCACGCTGTCCAACACCAAGTGTCTGCTGGTTGATCAGTGGTGCATACATGTCCCAGAAGCCATTGGGATTGTGCTGGGATCTTTAATGGTTCTCACCACACTGACATGTATCATAATAATGCTGAGAAAGAAGATTTCTTCCCCGCGTCAGTTTACAAGGCTTGAGTTCCAGGATGACGATGATCCTTTAATTGGGTGAATGAGGGTGTTCTAGTGCAGGCGCCTCAAGTGGAACCCCCCGCCAGCTTGTTTAAAACTACAACTCCCATGATGCTTTGCCAGACCTAGGGAATTTCCCTTTATCACTTATGGCTGTCAAAGCATTATTTGTAGTTCTTCAACAACTGGTGGATCACCTTTTCCCTGGTTTTAGAGTTTCGGCAAAGCACAACAGAGTACTTTAAACCAAAGATTCCCTGCTAGTAATGTGGAAATATTTTCTGAAGCAGTTTTGTATGTCTGAGGTTTGATTGTTTCTGTGTGTGTGTGTGTGTGTGTTTGTGTTTGGGGGAGGGTTAGTTTAATACACCAGCTATGTTGAACTATAATGCATGTTATTCTGGTCTGTTGGTCTGCTGCCTCTGTAGTCAAGATATATTTTTATATTTCTTACAGGTATTTCCCTCTTTGAGAAGTATGTGTTTAAATATGACCTTTTTTCCTACTGTATACTTAAAGGGACACTCCAGACACCCAGACGACTTCTGCCGATTGGAGTGGTCTGGGTGCCAACTCCCACCACCCTTAACCCTGCAAGTGTAATTATTGCAGTTTTTATAATTTGGGTGGAGCCTGACCTAGCGCCAAGGGACATCGGCGCTGGATTCGGGTAAGTCACTGAAGGGGTTTTAACCCCTTCACCAACATGGGATGGAAGCGGGAGGGAGAGGGCGCTAGGTCAGGCTCCACCCAAATTCCATTGCAGGGTCCTGCAGTGCCCAGAAAACGGATTTGTTTTCCTGGCACTGGCTAGGTCAGGCTCCACCCAAATTCCATTGCAGGGTCCTGCAGTGCCCAGAAAACGGATTTGTTTTCCTGGCACTGGAGAGTCCCTTTAATAGGAGAATTTATTATTAAAAGTGAGCAAAAGCAGCTCTTCTATTGGCTGCGACAGAAACTTACAAACCATGGACAAGCTTTAAACCTGCCTGCAGCCAGTAAGCTTAGCTACTTACCGACTGTAGGTATGTGCTGGTTCTCACACCACTGCCTTAAATATTAAATAATGGGCTTTTCTAAGAAGCCTTCCCCAGATGTGTGCAGAAACTGTTTTGTTCACTAAAATTGTATATTAAAAAAAAATGTGTTTTAAAATATTTTTAAGCCTAAAATCCACTTTGAATCATACTTGACCTCATTAATAATTAATAAGAGGAAACAGTTGTGTAGATGATACAAATTGCACTGTTTTATTCTTCCATTGTATATTTAACTGATTCAGACTGTGGTGTTGGCAATTTGCACTGTTACAGCAGTAACTCTTCTCCTTAATGTAAATGTTTCAGGGTAATGTCCATTTACGGATTTGGGTGGGTAGCCATTTCTGAATTGCTGATATTTTTTTTGTTTTTAAAACGTGTACATGAAAAAGATTAAATTGATTAGTATTTTTTGTTAGTGTGAATTATTTTATTATGTATGTACTTTTATTCTTTATTTTTCATTGTGTTTACAGCATTTGTAGGAATGTTGGTAATTGATAAGTCGGTTTGTCAAAAATAAGATCGATGACAAATGACGAGCAGTACAGACCACTCGCATATATTTATAGCTTTATAAGGAAAACACCCCTCTGCTCTAGGCATTTTTAAACGGAGTGTGATTATCTTCATTAGTAGGAAATCCTCTTCCTTTGAAGGTTAACCTAGTAAAGAAGATATTTGATTCATCTTGGTCTCTAATAGTAGTAATACATGTATTCTCTATTTACTAGAACGTGATGAGAGTACCCAATAACGTTATATAAAGTATGTATGTAGATAGATATAGCAAGTTCATTAACTCCATAAATCTCACAATCGCTTTCGATATGACATGTCCAGGGCTGGCTCAGATTGATGGGAGTCACATTCTGTTTTACAAAAATCTTTGAGCAGTGCTCCCCACATTCTCTTGAGTCTGAGGTCGCGCTCGCCCCTGCCATACCATCAGCATGTTCTCACACCCCCATTACAGCAATATATCAGTAGCATTCATTGTGGTGACGAAAATGTCACAATCTGAATATCTGACACATAATCTGTGCAATACAGCGAAAAAGTCATTATGAAATAAGCTGTCGTTTGACATTTTAGCATACATGTACATAGACCAGGGGTGGGTAATCTCTGACCCTCCAGATGTTATGGACTGCATCTCCCTTGACGCTTTGCTAGCATTATGGCCCTAAGAGAATTATGTGAGATGTAGTCCAAAACATCTGGAGGGCCGAAGATTGCCCACCGCTGACATGAAGACGAAATTAAGAAATGTACTATAGTAAATACACTGGGCATGCAGCCAGCACACTTACACTAAAGTAACAGACGTGGGATCTCATGCTTAGAGCTTCGGGATGCTCCATGCTATGCTAGTACTAACAAAGCTGGGCTGGCAATTTAGCTATTCTTTGGTTTTACGTCTGTAGGTTGGAGGACTTGATATCCTGCATCTATTGTTTTAATGCGAGATGCTGGCTTTGTGTCCAGTGAAGTTGAAATATATCATTTTTTTTATTTAATGAAGCAGTGAATGTAAACGAAAGCGATATGGTTTGCTGGTATTCCCAGCTCAAATTATTCCCAAATGGAAGGTTAATTATTAAGACGCAAACCTCACTGGGCTTTGTGAGCGCTTCTTCACAATTTGTTGTTGCTTAATCCTTGTTAATTGTTTTTGGATTTAGTTTTTTTTTTTTTCTCTTTTTCGAAATAACCTGTCTGTACGTGGTTTAGACCCACTTCCTGAGTGCAGCAGTACTGGAGGAAGTGTTACAATCTACTGCTAAATACAATACTATGCATTAGTGTACAGGCACCCATAACAAGCTTTGTTGATATTCTATAAAAAAAAATAAAAAAACAACTCTATGTATTTAAATGCACTATTTAATTGCTAATTTAAACTGACTGATAGAAATACAACTGTAAATATGAAGTTTAATTGTTTGGGCACCGTGTCACTGCTTAGCTACATTGACTTAAGCTGAAAAAGCTGCATGTAGCAAGGTAACAGTCTGTCTGTTCTTGTTTTAGGAATCTCCCTGACTTTCCTGTTCTAGAATAATTCTAGTTCAGAAATATTTGTTGGTTGTCTCGCGTGCCCTGTGCCTGAGATCAACCATAAGATCAGCTGATCCTGGAGAGCCAACAGAAGCTCCTTGTGGATCCCAGATTAGTTGTTGAACTGTTAGCAAACGGTTTAAATACTTGCATGAGCGGATGTGAGGGCACTCCTGGCACCATAACCACTACAAGTGCTGGAACTGTCTCCCCTTAACTAATGATCTAAGAAACAAATTTTACACAATTAGATTCTTAGACCTTTTAAAGAAATCACTAGTGGATCAACTCAAATTATGCCCAAATTTTAGCACATGCAACATTTCTTTTTATTTTTTTAAATAATTTTTTTTAATATTCTTCAAAGTCCACAAATAACTATGAATTCTAATTTATAGAAATATGTTGCATTTACATTTATTCACTGCAGAGATTGTGCAGCTCTGTAACTCTTTATCATCAGGCATCATTTGCTTCCGTAAACTTGCCACTGTCACTGTTTCCTCTACCTGTGATGGTGTATGGCCACTAGTAAGCTTACAAGCCCAAGGTTAAATATCAGCTCAGCCAACAGTGAAACGCAAGTGGAAATTAAATACAAATATATAGATTTTTACACTATGAATCAGAGTAAATTGTACCTTCATAAGACACGGGTTACTCCAACACTTTTTGGCTTTTTTTTGTTTTCAAATAATGCCCTATTGGGTATTATTCGTTAGTAATTGTACCCTCCTCCTCCAAACATTAACCCCTTAAGGACCAAACTTCTGGAATAAAAAGGAATCATGACATGTCACACACGTCATGTGTCCTTAAGAGGTTAAAATAAGTAATAGAATATGTTTCTACTTCCTTTGAATCCAGAGCCAGGGGAAACTCCTGGTGCTGCTCAGCGCTCCCCCATTTGACTTCATGGGAGCTGAGCAGAGGTCCATTCAAATTGATTGGACCATATAACCGTCTCAGAGCGCATGCACATGCTCTGAGCCTGCAATGGGAGAAGGAAAAAAATAGCGGAGGGTATAGGGAAGGCTGCAGTTAATTGGGGAGGGATGGAGGTGACAAATGTTATTGACGTTTGGCAGGTTATCTTAAGTCAAATGTTCCGAGGGTGTAACAACCCCCTGGCACACTATTGCAAATATATCTAAACGTGCAGCATTTTAACCAGAAGTGGTCATGGTGGTTGGATTAACCATTTAATGGACAGAATAGCTGTGTGTGCATAGATATTTTAGACATGATGAAGGGAGCAGCTTAAAAGCTTGTCATTCTGAAATACTTTTATTTCATTAAACAAGGTATCACAAGATACTGAAGCACTCCGTTCTAATAGATGGTTCTTTACGGTTGCCTTTTATGCCAAACTTTCTGCTTTGTTAAAAATGAAAACCAGAGGTTACTTTCTTAAATGTTTTAATTTAAGAGCATCCTTAATGGAAACAGAAGAAAATAATTATTATATATAAAATACTGTGTGTACATATATTTGTACGAAAATGATCCTAGAATACACCTAGAATTTAATATATAAATTGCTTTCAAATTCAATATTTTTCTAACCTAGTCTTTATGGTACTAATGTTATTTTATTGTTTTAATAAAAATGGATAAACTGCATTGTCTCAGTTATTATTTCATTTTGTACAAAATTAAAAAGGGGGCAGGTTCGTGCCCAAAACTTGGGAAAAAAATGAAAGCATTGGGGGGGAAAAGTGGGAACACATATGTATGTGTAATAGAGCAGTAGACTAATTGACCGTGTACTTTTTCATTGTTTATGTCGAAACAAAAATGAATATTTGAATAACACGGGGTTAACTCAAGTCCTAGAAACTAGGAAAAGTCAAGGTGGAAGCAGTTAGAGAAGTTTTATGGCAATGCAAGAATAATCTGACATTCTAGAGAGCTAAGGGATAGTTAAGGGACACCATGGACTCCCAGGACATTTTATCTCGTTTTAACCTTCAACTGGCTGTCACTCAGACTTCAGAAGAAATAGCACTGTAAAACTCAGAGACCATCTGATTGGTGCAGTGCTGTTTTTTGCAGCACATGCGTATTAGCTTACCAATGAAACATAGAAACATAGAATGTGACGGCAGATAAGAACTGTGACGGAACGCTGGCACTCCGACTGAGTACCTCCGCCAATCGATGCTCCTAGTGCTCGCTGAGGACTCCAAGCACTCCAACCGACACCATCAGCACTGCAGACCCCACTTCCAGCGATGCAACTGCGCCGGGGTCTCTGCTGTTTCCACCCACCCTGGACCCAAGGCCAGGATCCAGCTTCCAGTGGGTGAACCTCTCTTTCCCCAGAGAGCAGGAACAGGAACAAATCAAGCTATTGCAAGAGCTTCCTCTGGGGAGTAAGTGATTATAGCAATCCCCAGAGTGTAGGTATCCCTTCCCCCAAACATGAGCCAAGGCTTAATGCTGGAACAAGACTGATTTACTGGCACACAGAACTCACAATTTATGCAACACAGAACTCCTCCTCTGGGCCAGGCTAGATAATTGAGTTTCTACAATACACAAAGCTCAATTATCTGCTGGCCAGAACTAATACAGTTTCATAAACCACACAGGGACCCCAAAATATGCAATAACCCCATAAAAAGTATATATCCTTGGAACCGGGGGATCTGGTTGAACCATATATCCAAAATTCACCCAGATCCGTTCAGTACTTTGGAAAATACAGTTTAATGCAGATTCTGCAGAACATATACAGGCTAAATGAAAAACAATTACTGTATAATGTGTCCCCTGCTGTATAGTCCAAAAACCACCGCACAATGTCTCTGTGCACCAAATACTGGCGAGATGGCACCGTGTTGAAACATCCAAACAGTGTCTGGGAGTTAAAATGGCCGCCATCCATTGTTCTCACCATGTGCTTCTGATACAGGAAATGGTGGCCACCCAGTAACTCCACAGTATGTCCCCAGATGGTTCTTAAAGGGCCAGCAGCAGCACAACACAAATCCATTATGCCCAAATCATGTCTTTAAAGGGCAATACATCCCAGGGGCCATAGTCACAGGGCAAGAGGCGGGCAAGCAGTCCTCTCCAGGCACAAGTGGCGAAGGGCACTTCGTCACAAGAACCATTTGGCCCATCTAGTCTGCCCAATTTTCTAAACTTTCTTACGGGAAGGCATTGGATTGGCTGAGATCATCAAACCCTCATGATCTCCGCCAAAAAGGCAGGATGGCAGCACAGACTCCGGTAATGCGAGTGAGAAAAGGTAAACTCCCCCTTTTTTTTTTTTGCTCCTGAAATGGGTGAAGCAGTGTTTCCATGAATGAATCTAGTGCGTAATCTAAGAATTGGGTTTCTTGCCTGTAAAAGCTTAGTAGAGAATAAAATGTATTTACTACTGCACGCTCTACCAAATCCAAACCTAAGTAACCTAAAGTGAGAGCTGTGCTAGTCAGATGCCTTTTGTTGATATAAAACTACTGAAAGACTAAATGAAGATATACTGTATCATGAATTGTTTTAGAAAGAGATGCAGCTGGTAAACAAATATTTTTAACATGAGCCTTGAACTGGTAAAACCTGGGAAAATTGGGGGGGGATACCCCTCACCTTTAATTATACCAACCCTGCCATTAGGTTTGCCTGGCCAATCACATCAACTAAACAAACGATAACACATTTTATAAAAACTTTAGCAGAACCAGTAGCTAACTTTTAGCTAGTTGTATTGGTTGTGCGAAACGAAGGTTAGTGAAACTTCTGCTTCAATACACATTTTTAAAAACTGGACATCGCGTAACACTAGTTATATTTATTTATATATTGTTTTAAGAAGAGAGTGTTGGAAATTGAGAAATGGAGAGAGCATTCATACAATAGAAGCATACCCGTCTTCTAATTAGACTTACAAAACACCGGCATAGTCACCTCTAAATGTCAAACCACTTACAAGCACATCCTGTTCTACCCAGTGCCAAAGCAAGCTTCAGACTAAGCCAGAAAAGTTGTAGTATAGAGGTCTGTTTGTTAAACCTCAAGCAGCTCCACAATGGGCAAATTATCTGCTTATGAATTTACTCCTTGCTCTGCTAACATGAATTCAGGGATCTCGACTCCGTGGGTAAGATCTGGGTTGAGAGTAGAAGTCAAATCGTGCAGTTTTTGTTGAACTTGAGTACAGCAGGGCACATTGGTTTCAGAAGTTCAACTAAAAATTGTAATGCTTTCCTGGTCACTTTGGCTACAAAGCAATTCTGATGCCTAGGGGACACTGTAATCACCAAAACAACTTTAGATTAATGAAGCAGTTTTGGTGTATAGATCATGCCCCTGCAGTCTCATATCTCAGTTCTCTGACATTTAGGAGTTAATTCACTTTGTTTATGCAGCCCTAGTCACACCTCCCTGCATGTGACTTGCACAGCCTTTATAAAGACTTCCTGTAAATTGAGATCTAATGTTTAAACTTCCTTTATTGCACATTCTGCTTAATTTAGAATTAATCTCCTCTTATCTCCTGCTCTGTTAATAGCTTGCTAGGGCCTGCTCTAGTCTCCTGTGTGTGATTGAAGATGAAATTACAGAGCAGGAGAAAAAATTTTTTATAGCAAGTTACATGTGATTAAAAATTAAACCATTTCTTGTCAGGCAGGCTGTGTGAGTCACAGCCAGGGGAGCTGCGACTTGGGCTGCATAAACAGGAACAAAAGTGATTTAACTCCTAAATGGCAGAGGATTGAACACTGAGACTACAGGGGCATGATCTACTCTATACACTAAAATCACTTCAATAAGCTAATGTTGTTTTCATGCCTATATTGTCTCTTTAACCCCTTAAGGACGGAGGCAATTGTACACGTTCTGATCAAAACAAAATGTAACCAAAACCTGGAATTTGACCATATGTCTGTTCAACCATAATTCACCTCTTTTATATTAAGTACACCCACACTTATTATATATCATTTTGCTCAGATGAAACAGGGCTTTAATTTTTTTTATTTTTTTTTTAATTAGATATAAAACCTAATTTAATATGAATAAAATCTAAAAAAGTGAGAAATTCTTTAACTAGGAATGTCATACTGCTGTTAGCTGTTACTGCAATAAAATACACATTTTTGTATTCATGTACAGGTTTTATGGTGTTTTGGAAAGTTACAGGGTCAAATATAGCATGTTAAATTTTTCAGTTTATACACATTGAAATTTGCCAGACTGGTTATGTTGCCTTGAGACTGTACTGCATCGTAGCCCAGGGATGACAACCCAAGGTATTGCAAATCGGGTATTTCCAGTCTTTTTTAGTAGCCACTTAGTCACAAACACTGGCCAAAGTTAGCATTCATATTTGTTTGTGTGTAAAAAAATGCTACATTTAAATGCTAATTTTGGCCAGTGCTTGTGACACTCTTTCCCCCCACCTCTGGGCTGCCAGTCAGCCTGGTTAGAAAGATCAACTCAACCAAATCAAAAAGGGATCAGCATATGGAGCTATTCTGGGTCAAAGTTTTAAAAGGAGAGCGTTCGCCATAGAAACCAGTGGAATGTTGATTGCTTCATGTAACTGTACCTGAATTGTTATTTAAATATAAATGTAAAAGTCCGGCAATGACCAGCGTTCCCTCTCTTTATTAAGGCAGCTCCATATGGTTACAGATAGGGTTGCAGTATTAATCAGACTTTCTATACGTAATCAGTACATGTACTCACACACAGGCACTGAAAAAAACATTCCAAATAGGGAACGTGGGCAAAACAGGCACAAAACCGTGCGACACAGGCAGAAGTGGGCAGAGTTTGGGCAGTGGCAGGCAATGCACGCTGTATGCCCCCTGCTGTTCTAACAGTTACTGCACTGCAAATCATTATTTGTTAAATATTGCCACAGTTGCACCCATTAAGTTATCATCTTCCCTCCCAGCTTCATGCTTCATATATACATTCGTTTATAACCTTTTCAAAATCTTATACTGAAATAGTGTTTTTAATATCTCACAGATTGTCTTGTGACAGTTAATAACCTTTGCAAAATGTTATGCAGAAAAATAGATTTAGAAAAAAAAATTGTAAGAAAAATAACTATTTTTTTTTTTTTTTTTACAAAACTCCAACTTAAAATATACACAGGGCATTTCCAATATCTACGTACACACTCACAAGATTATTCACTAACGTGAGAATTCACAGTGAATCTCAATGTCAAAGTCGAAATAGCTGAACTAGAAACATTCTCTATTAGCTGTGCTTTCCATTCAGATACTCTGATCTTAAAGATGAAATTCCCTTGAATTCACTTTGAATATTGACTTTTGTGAATAAACCAGTCAGTGTTTATAAATTAGTATACTAAGTGAGTACAGATGCTCTTTCCAAATACATTTCTAAAATAGTCCTATAAACCAATCACTCTGAGCTATGTTGAAATACGAGCGATGCATAACTAAAAATAATCATGCTTCTTCTATATGGTTTATCCCCTCATTAAAATCCTTATATAGAATACTTGGAGAAGCCTATAAAATGCTTTATTGTGTACACACGTATACATTAAGACACAGAACCAGTTCTGCAGGACTAAACCACCCATGTTGTCAATAAGAATTTAACTGGCTGAATTGGAACATGCC